TAACAATAACAAATGGAAATAAATAAATAAATAAATAAATAATTCTAAAAAAAATGAAATAGCGTACTGTGTTGACCGAAGCATTAAAATCCAATGCAGTCCTAATGGCAGAAAAACATATTTTTAGCTTCTTATTTGCCGATATTAATACAGGCAATATTTCTTATGCCAGTAAGTACTGTACTTATCATCCTGGCATAGAAACTCTCTACTTTTAATGCAAATGTTTATTATCTGTTGATGTCTTGGTTATGTTACAATATTTGTACACAAAGAAGCAAAATGGGAGTCTGATCAAATTAATTTTATCAGATCCACATTTTCATCTGTCCAGCAGATAAACTAAAATTGTGTCTTCAAATGATGAATTTTCCCCATTCTAGAAAAAGAGAGACAGTAGACTCTGTTCTACCATAGATTAATATCTGATGATTACAGAGCACTTAGCTTTCCGCCTTGAAGGATGGACCTCATCTCCTCAAATTCAGGCTTTGATTAAATGGAAGATAAATGAAAACCATTTTCTTGGTTCTACCCTGCCCGTTTCTGAACAGACATACACATTCAAATTCCATTTATTTCTCTTACGAGTGTGCCATACTCATCCCAACAACATATCGCCACCTTTCTTTCCATCTCTGCTGTAGCTCAGACCCAGTGAAAAGATTGCGCAAGATTTTCTGTTTCAAAACTCATTACAGGGAACCAGCAGTTAGCATAATGGCTATGTCGCTGGATTCCCACGTAGTCGACCGCGGTTCGTGTCCTGGACCCGGTGGCTTAAAACTCACGCCAGGCGCGTATGCGTGCGTGCCCAAGATCCCGAAAGGAGAATGGAGGAGAAGGGATTGCGGCGTGACCATCCCCCCTGGGGGGTGATTTCTCGCTTTCTGTCTCTATGTCTCTCTCTGTCTGTCTGGCGAGCGCACACGCCCTACAGTGAAAATCTCTCCAAAAAAAAAAAAAAAAATTCATTACAGAAGATAAGAGGCAAAGACTTCCATAGATGTATAAGCCAGAAAGAAGTTGGATAAAACAGAAATCTCCCGAAGTACTAATTAGAAAAGATGAGATGGATCAGAAATAACTTGTTCTATTTTTGTATACAAAAATCTTCTGGACTGGGGGACCAGCAGTGAACGTAATGGCTATGTCACTGAACTCCCATGTAGTCGACAGTGGTTCGCATCCTGGACCCGGTAGCTTAAAACTCACGCCGGGTGCGTGTATGTGTGTGCCCAAGATCCTGAGAGGAGAATGGAGGAGAAGGGAATGCGGCGTGACCATCCCCCCAGGGGGTGATTTCTCGCTTTCTGTCTCTATGTCTCTCTCTGTCTGGCGAGCGCACACGCCCTAAAGCAAAAAAAAACCTCTCCAAAAAGAAAAAAAAAAATCTTCTGGACTGTAGGTAGAACCCAGAGATTGAACCAGAATACATGGGTTTTCATTCCAGCACTGACACTGAGCTGAGGGCCACTTCCAGAGAAACATGTAACTTCTCACTAAATAGAGATGATATCTATCTCACAGATTTTTGGGATTGCCTCAGATAATTCATATAGTAGGACTTTATGAACTACAATGGAGAACGTTAGTGTGAGTTGTCATTAAGTAAAAAAGTTGTGGCTCATTAAATATATTTTATTTACGTTTAATTATTATATAACTTTATAACATATAATTTGTCTTTTCAAAATATATAGGTTTTGTGAATATCATACGTTATTTCATTCAACTGTCTGAAAAACACTAGGAGAGTTGTGTTATGACCATACATATTTTATAGATATTTTAACTAACTGTGATACTTTACAAAAACCAGGCAGGACAGAGAAATGAAGGATAAGAGATAGCAGCCTGACTGACTATGCCCCATTGAGGTATGTTT